AAAAAAAAAAAAAAAAAAAGAACGAGTTGCCTCTCTAGCATCCCCTAAAGGTTTTGCTTTTTAAATATCATCACAAATGCATGAATTTTTAACATATTTGATGTGTTTCAGTCTTTTGCATTATTCTTCTTATATTCAAATTGTCTAATCTCTGGGCAGTGGGATGGTCTTCGATTGGCTACTGTCTTTTTCACATGACTCCAGTAGTCTTTGAAAACTCCCTTGCTTTTTGGCATAAGTCTTTTCAAGCTCCTTTTGTGTATTTCCTACCCCTGACCTAGAATCATCCATTTGTCTAAGGAGCCCTAATTCTCTTAGAGTAGTTGCTATTTAGAGACCACAATCTGGGTAATAGGCATGCTTGTTGCTACGAGATTGGTCCTTGTTTCCAGGCCTTTTTAGTGAGCAGAGCTAGGAAATGTGTATTTTTTTTTTCATAAGAGAAAATATGTATATAGCTGTTTTCAGTTCAAAGTTAGGATAACAGTGTTTTTTTACTTTTGTGTGATTGTGTGTAAGGAAGATTAACCCTGAGCTAGCATCTATTGCCAATCCTCCTCTTTTTGCTGAGGAAGATTGGCCCTGAGCTAACATTCGTGCCCATCTTCCTCTACTTTTATACGTGGGACGCTGCCACAGCATGGTTTGATAAGCAGTGCGTAGGTCCGTGCCTAGGATCCGAACCTGCGAACCCCGGGGCCGCCGAAGCGGAGGTCGCGAACTTAACCACTATGCCCCCAGGCCGGCCCCAACAGTGTTTTTACTTTTTGATTTTATATTTGTATCTATTTTTTTCTGAAGTTAAAAATTTTGCTTTCTTATGATGTGAACATTATCGCTTACTTGTTTTATGCTACTATATATGTAATACTTTCAAAGTAGCAATAATAAGATTTCTACTAACAATATGATTACCTGAAAACAGTTGGAGCCATCTTTGTGGTTCTTTTTGTCCTTAGGATATAACCCCCCGGGACTTGGAATCACATTCCTCTGTTATCAGTCGCTGGAAAGAGTTCTTTCTGTGTGGCCAAGCCACCAACTTAATAGGTTTATTTTTTTTTTTTATCTTGCTTTTGGTTTTCAGGGACTGCTGTGTACAAAATTTTATTTAATTTTGTAATAAAAAAAGTTTACATGGTTCCAAAGTCAAAACTATAAAACGGAATATTCAGGGAAGTCTACTTCCATCCCTGTCCCCTCCACCCTGTTTCCTTCCTCACTCTTTAGGTAACCATTTTGATTAGTTTTTGGTTTATTCTTTTACTGTTAATATTTTTTTTTTTTAAGATTTTATTTGTTTATTTTTCCCCCCAAAGCCCCAGCAGATAGTTGTATGTCATAGCTGCACAACCCCCTAGTTGCTATATGTGGGATGCGGCCTCAGCATGGCCGGAGAAGCGGTGCGTCGGTGCGCGCCCGGGATCCGAACCCGGGCCGCCAGCAGCGGAGCGCGTGCACTTAACAGCTAAGCCACGGGGCCGGCCCC